GTCGATTCGAATTACTCGTTTCTTTCAAAAACAAGCCGGCTCTAAGTTGGCATTAAGCCACGCAGATAGTTTGGTTAAAGTTAACACTTTACTTTCTAAACCATCGCTCGAATTCGTAACGAGCGATTCAACTATTCCGCCTGAATTCAAAAGTTATATGTAATCGAGTGAAATGGCTGAAAATAGCCATTCGAAGAATTCTTGGCTATGAGCAGAATTCGGAATATTCCCCGTGTGTTTCAGATAAACACAAGGACGATGGATAAGCCTGATATGCCTGCAAAGAGCTTATGATATGCGAATGGCTTGGAAATATTTGGAGGTTTCCACAATTCAAAATACAATCATGACGTTGACAGAAAGCAAAAGTGCATTAAATTACCCGCTTTGACTAGACACGAAATCTCAGCCAGTCGTCCATGCTGTTGGTGTTAGGACGGTAGGATAGCAACAAAAAGATAAAGTAACTCTAATATCTGACTGTGACGTGACACACACTGTGACTTGACGGTTGAAAGCACACTGGATCAAATGTGATTTTTTTTTTGTCTCCACTAAAGAGAGATGCACGTTCAAACCTTACCTGAGAGCCTATTGCCATTGTTGTCTCCAGAATGCAAGGGTCGGTAGACGTATTTCGTATTCTATAAATGACAGTGGTGGGGTCTACTGAACCTGGGGTATGTAGTAAAATAACGTTTGAAACCTTGAGAAATAAAGTCGGATTGAAAATAAAATCTCTTATTCTAATAAAATAAATTACTTTCTTTACTTTTTGGATATGAATTCGAAGAGACATGGGCTTTCGACTAGATATGAACGATAGGATGAGCACTTCTTAAAAAGGCAACGGAAACTTGCTGGTCTCTGAAGCTCTCTGTGGCCTACTTGTCCTTTGGACTTTATTAAATCTTTCAAATGGGTAGACCTGGAGGCGTAACTTAATACTGTTTAAAAACAAAGAATGGTGCGTTAACTGAAACATGACTATCGCGTAAAATTCCATATAGGGTAATAAGAAGTATACTCTCACTCAAATATATACACAGGCCCAAACACGATCTCATATATATATATATATATATATATATATATATATATATATATATATATATATATAGCTATATTTATGAGGTAAATTGATCAATATCTGAGATAGAACGTATGAAAATTGTTTTGAAGCATAAAAGAGAAGATCGCTGTTCGGTGTTATCTCAGTGTTCACTTTATATATATATATATATATATATATATATATATATATATATATATATATATATATATTCATTTCTGTAGTTCACTGCCAACAGCAAGCAGAAATATTTCTCCTCCCGATGATGGCCATTTCGGTCGAAACTAGTCGAGGAATCTAAATGGAATAATAATAATAAAAAAAACGAAAGAATATTAATCTACAACCCATGTGTCTAATGATTTTAATTTTTTTAATTTTATTTTCTTATTGTTCAAAAAAAAAAAAAAAAAAAAATATATATATATATATATATATATATATATATGTATGTATGTATGTAAGCAAATATATGGATATAGATCCGACAGTATGAAAAAAAATATACTGAAAAAAACAAACAAAAATCCTATATGCAATTATGCTGTTTTAATGTTTAATATCTATGTCGGAAGTTTCGGTCTAGTAGACCATCTTCAGGACATATTCATAAAACATAATTAACATAGACCATATACAATTCAACATGAAAAAGACGATGGACATAAAAGCAATACCAATCCAAACAGATAACTGAAATCTTTTATAAGATCAGCGTTCCGTTTAAATATGATCACGTAGTCGTCACGTGGTCGATGTTGTGAAAACGTATTCCTAAAATTTGATTATTTTGAATATTGAATTTTGAATATTATGAATATGTCCTGAAGATGGTCTATTAGACCGAAACGTCCGACATTAAACATTAAAACAGCATAATCGCATATTAGGATTTTTGTTTGTTTTTTCAGTATATTTTTTTATATATATATATATATATATATATATATATATATATATATATATATATGACTTCACACATTATGAAATGGACAAAGTCCGACAATTACTTTAAGACTTTTTATGTTTATACATCCTTCATATATAAAAAGGAAAAACATTATGAAATGGACAATTTTCTAAAAATAATATATATATAAATATATATATATATATATATATATATATATATATATATATATATATATATATATATATATTAGAACCAGGCGTATATATATATATATATATATATATATATATATATATATATATATATATATATATATATACGCCTGGGTTCTAATAGCTGTATCCCCTTGCTAGTGGTGAATCGATTAAAAAGAAAAAAAGATATCAGATATCGAAATGCATTGTCAAAGAATATTTCTTCCTTTCATATATATATATTTTGTTTACCAACGGGGTCACCTCTAAGTGCTATGTTGGCATCTATTTCCATAGAATTTCTCTAATCTGGCTCTTTCCAAAACAATTTACCTAAACAATTAATATACTTCAGATATATTTATAAAGGTCTTTTAATATATCCGCGTGGTACTGATTTAACTGACATTGTAGATAAACAATATCGGATTTACGAAAGAACTTACGAAATGGAAGAAAATAATACTTTACCTTTCCAAGATACCATGCTACACCGCGTTGACAATGAACTGATTAAAAGTATCTTATAAATGTCAAATCTCACCAAAACAATAAAATAAAAATCCGGAATAATCGTCGAATTATACATAAGACAATTCAGAATTTGTAGACATCAGCATTTACGTAAAAAAGGACAAATAAATCGAAATATTTTAAGCTCCTACAAGACCTTAAATAATTCCTGTTCAATGCGAAGCAAAAGGCTAATAAAATATTTAAAAATAGAAGGCCTCATTCTGAGAAACACAACGAACCAAAATAAACCAGCAACTCTGTAAAAAGTACATTGGAAAGATTGTATTCAAATCCAACATAAAATCTTTCGCAGCTATGTCTAAAATAATTGCCACCAACATACACAGGACAATACACGATAAATTTAAATAAAACATTAAATAAACGATTATATGAATAAAAAACTGGAACTTTTATAAAACAACATATGAAAGACATTACTAGGTCACTCTAAAGAGGCTGGCTAGAATTTTGAGTTACAAATGCTATTCTGATTAAAAGAGAAAACAATTTGCTAAGACGAAAATGCTTAATCGCTAGATCACCCACAGGAAATTAGATTCCAAGTTCTTGTAGCGCTTCATCATTTTTTGCAGATCTATTATCCCGATATGTGACCTTTAATAACTAAAGTGATGGAAATATAAACAAAAAGAAAATATTATGAATGAAACTGGCTACATTATATGCCAAAAACATATATAATCTTTCGTGCGCATATGTAGTCGCATCAGCGTAAATATAGATTTAGTCCGTTTCAAAATAAAAATAAAATATATATATATATATATATATATATATATATATATATATATATATATATATATATATATATACAGAGAGAGAAAGAGAGAATATCGGGTAGAATGGAGATCAACTCTTTTAATGGACTCAGCAATTTTCAATCTGCTTGTCTGAATCAACTTCAAGAAGCGAGAGCAAGATATAAAAGGTCAGTCAATCTAACAGTGATCTCATCTCACAATCTTCACACTTGCTCTGTATGTGGCCTCCTTTGTAACTCACTAGCGGGTCTTTAATGACACTTAAGATTATCGCACAAAATTTTATAAATGAATCAATAAGCTGTCAGATCCTCATACGTCGAAACCGACGGGAGAGTCCATTATTATATATATATATATCCTAATGAGCCAGATACTACTTGCCTAGGTTTCACCGCGTGGGATCAGTTCACGCTGAGGGTCCGATGTGGTGAAACTTAGGTAGGTAGTACCTAGATCATTAGGATTTGTTTATTTTAATTTTGCTCGACTTAGCGTCTTGAGCACACTTCGCTTTATATTATTACTCGCTGGTGGTTTGTAACAGAGATTTGAGGCACTGGGCGATTTTTTCACCCTCTTCGGAGGTTTCTGGTGCTATCCAAGATTTTCTCCCATCGAGTTTAAATAGTTTAACATTATATATATATATATATATATATATATATATATATATATATATATATATATATATATATATATATATATATATATATGATAAAGATTAAAGAGGATTTGAGATAATTAAGTAATTCATCGAGTCTAGAAGAACGCAATATCGAATCTATTTTGTTACCTCTTCGTCGGGGCCCGTTAATACAGGTAGTATGACGTTTGCCTTTCAGTGTAGGTGTCCGGGTTTCAATCCTCGGTTTGTGGATGCGCACTGCTGATGAGTCCCAAATATAGGACGAAACGGCCGTCCAGTCCTATCTGCATTCGTTTGAGGTTAGTTCTAGACCCAATGAATTACTTTATATATATATATGTATATATATATATATATATATATAAAGAAAGAACAGCAAGATATATAATCCGGTGTTCTTATAGGTATTTTTATTTTTTACAAAATAGTGCTCAATGTAAATTTACAGAGCATTAATATTATAAATTAATTGATATTTTTAAATCAATTAATTTATAATATTAATATTAATTAATTAATATTATAATTTATAATATTAATATTAATTAATTATATTATTATTATTATAAATTAATTGATATTTTAAATCAATTAATTTATATATATATATATATATATATATATATATATATATGTATGTATGTATGTATGTATGTATGTATATAGTTAAAGAAAGAGAGAGAGTAAGAGAGACAGACAGATATAGAGATGGCCTGAGTAATATATTGAAAAATGTCATAGAATGTTCTTGAACAAAATACTGCTCTTTTGCGATTGATGAATTATGTTGTGGCATTACTACATTGACCCTTTGGTTTTGCGTATAACCACAGTAGGCACAACGGAAATGGCAAACCTAAAAAGAGGGGCATTAATTTGGACTCATGGGAACAATATAGAACTTCACCCTCTCCCCTAGTTCATCATATTTAATATGAAAATTTAAGGGATGTGCTTCCAGTTTTCGCAGAAGGTATAGATTAAATGGTAAAAATTTCTAGCGGGTCAATAATTCCCTGATTCGACATTTGTTTTCTGTCTAAGTAAGTTGGAGAATCATAACTGATTTATAGGCGAAACCATTTATAGGGAAATCCGGGAGGGAGAAAAATGTTGTTCTAAATGATTACGTGATATTTTTTCCCAATATATAAGCATTTATCTTCACAACTGTCCCATACGGTTGAAGGGATCAACTCGTTTCTCAAATCTCGGTGAATTTTTTTTCTTTTTCTTTTTTTAAAGAAAATGTTTTCTTTGACGTCAAACATACACCATTTGACGGTTTATTTTCTGTCATGTGTTTTGCAAGAATCCCAACTTAAAATAATGGATTTATTGATGATAATATTAGCCGTTTTCTTAGAAGGAAATATCGACATTCATTAACCGACGAGCCAGATATTTGTTACACTTTTCTTTCATTCTCTTGCTATCAGGCTGGGATGAGAGGCTGTAGTATATTTTCTCATCATCTCTAATGGTAATTAGAATAACAGTCATAAGGAAATAGTCAGCATTAACTAACAGAACAACTAGTGCTGTCCAAGTGAGTGTTTTTTACACCCACTGACCATTGGGTGAAAATGGTGAAATGGTAGTATCTGTTCTCTAATCGTAATATTCCTTGTAATGTCGCATTCAACTCACCGGAGCTATTTGTTCTTTTCGTTGTTCCTTGGTCATTAGGCAGAGAAAATATATATCTGCCTTCGGGTGAATAAATTACATTTTAACCCTCAATTCTATTTCTGACGTTGGACATTTCCAACAACTTGTTCTTGTATATAGATACTTGTCACAGAATGAAATCATTCAATTTGCCTTCATAAAGTCCATCAGATAGATATATAGATATGAACATATTTACAGTGATAGAAAGACTGCTAGATAGATATCACCAGTAACAGGTAGATAATATCAGTAACAGATAGATAGATATGAACATATTTAGATAGAGAGATAGATAGATAGATAGGAATATATATATATATATATATATATATATATATATATATATATATAGATAGATAGATAGATAGATAGATAGATAGATAGATAGATAGATATGAACATATCTAGATAGATAGGTAAATAATAAACACATCTAGATAAATGGATAACTAAATAGATAGATATCACCAGTAACATACGTATTACCAGTGATAGATAGATAGATAGTTAGATAGATAGATAGATAGATAGAAAGATAGATAGATAGATAGACAGAAAGACATAGACAGATAGATAGATAGATAGATAGATAGATAGATAATCACCACTAACAGATAGGTATGATCAATATCAGATAGATAGATAGAGATGAATATATTTAGATAGATAGATATTACTAGTAAAAGAGATAGATAGATAGATAGATAGATAGATAGATAGATAGATAGATAGATAGAGATAGATAGATAATTGAATGACTGAGATAGATATGAACATATTGTTATAGATAGATAGATAGATAGATAGATAGATAGATAGATAGATAGATAGATAGATAGATAGTAAAATTAATGAGATAAATAGACAGAGAGTAAAATTAATGAGATAGATATATAATGGATTGCCTGAGATATGAAAAGACTGTGATGATAGATAGATAGATAGATAGATAGATAGATAGATAGATAGATAGAGAGAGATAATTAAATGACTGAGATAGATATGAACAGATTGTGATAGATAGATAGATAGATAGATAGATAGATAGATAGATAGATAGATAGATAGATAAAAGCAAATATTGCTATAATAATCTCTTATCGTATTCTCCCCGTATTGCTATCTTACTCTTTCTGTGTCACTGCACTTTATTTATTCATATGTTAGAACTTATATTAAAATAAATCCGTTCTTTGATCCTAAATATTGATAATCCCTATCATTTTCAGTCTTAAGGCTTTAGCTGTGGCATCAAAGGTGGCTGGGCGGTTGAATTTAATCAGCTTCTTCATAAGAACTATGGTTTCACGGAAATAATGTCGCCTGTAAGTAAATCATATATGCTTCCTCCCCTTGTCAATAAATGTTAGAGAACAAAAATATAATCAATAATTAATCTTATTTATATTATTAGCAGATGGACGGTTTGCAACGTCTTCCTTGTCGTTATCCCGTCCTGGTTAAGTCGATAAACTACGTCCAGCAGCAAGGCCTCTGATCAGGAGGCTTTGAGGAAGCATGGAACCACACCTTAATTGCTGGTGTTCCCAGGTGCACCCGACCCGGGGTGGTAGCACCTGTTAGGGTCCCAGCTATGGGCAAATAGTTAATCCCGAACCGGGGGTAAAAACATTATGAAAGTGTAAAAATAGGTTTTAATACGAGAACTTTTTTTTTTTAAATTATTACCAGCAATAAATTCTTGAAGAAAAAAATAATATCACCAGCAATACATCGGTGAAAAAAAAATATTACCAGCATTACATTTTGGAAGGAAAAATATTAAAAGAAATAGATTTTTGACAAAACTAAATATTACCAGCAATAAAAATTTTATCGGCATTAAATAACCCATTGAAGTTCATATGCCGTAAAACAAACCAAACCCAACCAATCCAAAACCTTGTCGTTATGACAATGCCGTGCCCTTCGGCCTTCATCCTTCAAATATCGAACGGGACACTTTATTTAATCTACTGGGAGATTGTTCGCATTCCGCTGATACTGTCCGTATATCTAGTGTATTTCTTGTTCAGCTGTATTCAGGTAGCGCTCGCCTCGTTTCAACTGACAATTATTTCATAAACAATTTTTTTTAAAAAGTCACATTTAATCTATTAGACTAATGAACGGATTACCTGAAGCGTAAAATGAACATACATGTTGATGATTGCTGTTGCTGCTTGTAAAAGTTGATTGTATGTACTTGACTTTCCCACGAAGGTTAGATGCAAAAGAATATTTCTTTTTTAAAAATTTTGTCTGCCCTTTTGCGTAACTATCAACACAGGACAGAAATTACCAATATGCCAGAAACACTGTTTTGCTGTAGTCAATATTACATCAACTCTACTGTGTTTAGTACAATGAAAAAGGATTGAAATTCCAGAAACCGTCGCTTTCTCAATTTGTAAATACACATTAATCCCGGCCAAACAATTTGATATAGACAAAGATAAAAAGAATTGTCTGCAAGCAAATTAACTAATATTAATATCTCCTCATTCCAAATATTACGACAGTAAATAAGGAAAAGCCCACATCCCAGATATTACGACAGTATATGATATGTAGTCATCACAGTTATTACGAGAGTAAATAATGATATTTCTTCATCCAATATATTACTAAAGTAAATGATGAAAAGCCCCATATCCCAGATATTACGACAGTAAATAACACAATCCCCACATCGCAATTATTTCTTTAGTAAATAATGATATATCGTCATCCCAGATATTACATAAGTAAATAATTAAAAGCCCCACATCCCAGATATTACGGCAGTTAATAATGTTATATCGTCATTCAAGATATTACGACTGTAAATTACATTTCCTTATTCAAGATTTTAGGACACTAAATAATGAGTTCCCACATCCCAGATATTACGACAATTAATAATGATATGCCGTCATCCCAGATATTACGATATTAAATTATATTTCTTCATCCCAGATATTACTCGAGTAAATAATGAAAAGCCCCACATCCCAGATAATACGACAGTAAGTAATATTTCCTTATCCCAGTTATTGCAGCAGTAAATAATGAAAGCCTCACATCCCAGATATTATGAGAGTAAATAATGGTTTGTCGTCATCCCAGATATTACAAAAGTAAATAATGACATTTCTTCATCCCAAATATTAAAACAGTAAATAAGGAAAATCCTTACATCCCAGAAATTAAGACACTAAATAAAGTTATTTCGACATCTCAGATATTACGACAGTAAATAATGTTTCGTCATTCCAGATATAACTACAGTAATCAATGAAAAATCCACATCACAGATATTACGACAGTAAATAATTCTATGTGTTAATCCCAGATATTAGGAAGGTAAATAATGGAATATCACACATCTCAGATATTACAACAGATATTAAACATATATCAATATGATGATTTTCCTTCGTCTTTCAATGATAAGGTTGCTAAGCTTATCAGGCGATATGAAAGTAATTTCTATAAAATAAATAGAGAAAACTTGTCTATATTATTTAATGAAATATGCATCAATATATATATATATATATATATATATATATATATGATCGAAATAAAAGTATAAAACTTAATATTATTACGAGACATATTAAAAAAAAAAAACGGGTGAAGCAACCGGTTTCGCTCTTCAGGCTTGAACAGGAGATTTAAAATGAACACAGAAAATCTCCCGTTGAAGCCTGAAGAGGGGAGCGAAACCGGTTGCTTCAATCGTTTTTTTTGTTTTTTTAATGTCTCGTAATATTAAGTTTTATATTTTATTTCCATCATTAAATTTTTTACCTACAAAAATATATTTTAATATATATATATATATATATATATATATATATATATATATATATATATATATATATATATATATATATATATATATATATATATATATATATATATATATATATATATATATATATATATATATATATATATATATATATATATATATATATATATATATATATATATATATATATATATATATATATATATATATATATATATATATAGAGAGAGAGAGAGAGAGAGAGAGAGTCTATTCAGCGTAAGGCACACAGACTGATAGATAGACGGATAGACAGACAGATAGATAGATAGATAGATAGATAGACAGACAGACAGACAGATAGATAGATAGATAGATAGACAGACAGACAGACAGACAGATAGATAGATAGATAGATAGATAGATAGATAGATAGACAGACAGACAGACAGACAGACATATAGATAGATAGATAGACAGACAGACAGATAGATAGATAGATAGATAGATAGATAGATAGATATTAACAGACTGATATAGATACAGGGTGCGAAGTGTAAATTAATGCTATTTTATATTTTTTTATTTCGCGCGTGAGCTTAGTTTGTCTTTGATTTTGTTGAGTGCACAGTAAAATGGGGTCTGTGAGACAAAGAGCACCATGACGCATTTTACTCCTCCAGAAATTTAGAAACGCCATGCTGTATGGCATGGCATTTGCGCTGGAAGCTCCAATACGAACATTTCAGCGTCATTGGGTCTAAAAACCTAGGAAAGAGAAGAGAACTCAGAAAGAGATTCTGTGAATGTATTTCAGATCAGGAAAGTCCTTCTGATTGTTCTGATGAAAACAAAAAAAAACTCCCGGATTTGTTGGTGATGTGCTCAGACACAACACGAAGGCCTACATCGATTACCTTGACGTGGTAGTGCTGCTCTGGGTTCAAGTTGGTGTCTGCTGGAAGACACTATGTCTTGTAACAGACTCTGCCCCATGCAACACAAGCAGAAGAGAACTATCATGACTGTCAGACGATTTCTGTTGACTACATCACCAATTATATCTGGCCACATAACCCTCCAGACTATAAACCCATAATTCTTATGTGTAGGGTGCAGTTGAGCGAGGGACCAATGAAATTCCTTTTAAAACCAAAGTTAAACTGAAGGCAAGTTTTATAACAGTATTCACAGATTAAACCTGTAGATCGTACACAAGAGTGCCAAGAGATTCCGAAGTCGTCTGGAGAACATTGTTGAAACCAGTGGCGAGTTTACTGAATAAATCTATTCAAAAATATCTTATAATACTAAAGTATTAAAAGATATTTTGTGTAATTTTGGTAAATATATCATTTAAAATTAAATGTCAGTGTTATTTACATTTTGCGTAATTCAAATAACAATTTATCCAATGCACCTTGTATAAAATATATATATATATATATATATATATATATATATATATATATATATATGAAATAGAGTAAGGTAGACAGATAGAGATACAGACAGTCGTGCATGAAGAGACTGAGATAGATAGATAGATAGATAGATAGATAGATAGATAGATAGATAGATAGATATGAAGAAACCGAGATAGATAAATAGGTATAAAGTGACTGAGAGCTAGCTAGCTAGCTAGCTAGCTAGCTAGATAGATAGATAGATATGAACTATGTGAGATATCTATCTATCTATCTATCTATCTATCTATCTATCTATCTATCTATCTATCTAGATAGATAGATAGATAGATAGATAGATAGATAGATATGAAGTAAGTGTGACAGATAGATAGATAGATAGATAGATAGATAGATAGATAGATAGATAGATAGATAGATAGATAGATAGATATGAAGTGAGATAGATAAGTAGGTATGAGGAGACTGGGATCGATAGACAGATACGAAGAACGTGAGATAGACAAATAAGTATGAAGAGACTGGGATAGATAGATAGATAGATAGATAGATAGATAGATAGATAGATAGATAGATAACCGATATAGATAGTGCAATAAAACTTCCCAAAAGATAAAGAAGTCTTCAAAGTATAAGTAATGAGAAACATAAAATTGAAGAGTATTATTTTAGAAATGTACTAACAAAAACAATAAATTGGGGGAAAAATTCCAACGTAGCATCAAACTATAAATTAGTTTCATCGTTGTTTTCCTGAAAACCGGTTCGATGGCCAGGGGAGAGAACTCCAGGAAATCGTTATCCTAACTGTTTGAACTAGATTCCTCTTTTATTTTTTAAAATTTTTTTTGGCTTTTCTTCTTATTTGTTTATTTGCTGACGTACTTTTTCCCCCCAACATTTTTTTTAACTGTAAAGCAACATATTTTTACAGAAAGTCTTTTGATTTGAAGGGATTTACACACGGAACAAATAACTCGATTATTTTTAAATTCTACGAAATTTGGGTGTGGGAGGGATTCGCTCTTTTATGCAGAAAATTTTTTTTTTTATTTTTTCTGCACTTTTTTTTCCTTTTCTCTTTTTCACCTGGCTATTTTTTCTTCTGAAGTCTAACGTTGGAACATAATCAAAAGGCATTAAATATGGTGGAAGAAGATGGTCCGATATATTTTTTATTTTTTTATTTTTGACTTCTTGGTCGGGTAACCAATCAATTACGCCATCTTGTTTCTCTTTTCTTAACGACTAGTTTTTTTTTTTTTTATATGAAAACTTTGTTTTACGTTTCTAGCATTATTTACTCGATTTTCATTTTCTCTTTCTTTTATTTTTTTTCACTGGTGAATTTCCTTTCCCTTTTTTTCTTTCTTTTCTGTTTAAATTTTCATTTATTTTTCTTTCACTCCTTTTTAAATTTTCTTTTATTTCTTTCCCGTTACATTATCCCTTCCTTTTGTTATTTCTTCTATTTTCATTTTTTTCTCCGAATTTCTTTCTTTGTTTTTTTTTCTTTCTTTCTCTTTCTTTCGTTCGTTATTTTTTTTCTTTCGTCTTATTTAATTTATTAATCCATATCATTTTTCCTTCTCTTTCAAATTTCTTCTTATATTTCATATTTCTTCGCTCTGGTCGCTGTCTTCCGAATTTTCTTTTTCATTCATTCCGTTATTCAATAATATTATCCTTCAGTTTTCATTTCCTTTATACTTTAGTCAAATTCTTTCTAAATATTCAAAGTAGAAATATACAACCATTCTTTCTTTCTTTCTTTCTTTCTTTCTTTCTTTCTTTCTTTCTTTCTTTCTTTCTTTCCGGCAATTCAATGGTCTTTTCTTTCTTTCTTTCTTTCTTTCTTTCTTTCTGGCAATTCAATGGTCTTTTCTTTCTTTCTTTCTTTCTTTCTTTCTTTCTTTCTTTCTTTCTTTCTGGCAATTCAATGATCTTTCTTTCTTTCTTTTATTGCGTTTTCTTTCTCGCAATTTGCCTCATTTTTCTTTCTTTCTTTCTTTCTTTTCTTTCATTCTTTGTGTTTTCTTGCTATTTTTTAAATGTTTCTATCATTCTGTCTTTATCTTTCTTTCTATTTTTGTTGGTCTTTCTTGCTAGCTTTTATGCATATTTATTTTCAATCTTACTTTTTTCGTTCTTTTCTTATTTGTCTCTTTCTTTTTTTCGTTCATTGTTGTTTCCTTTTATTCTAACTAAGTAACTATATTCAATATATATATATATATATAACTATATTCTATACTAACTATATATACTAACAATATTCTATACTAACTTTATATACTAACTATATTCAATATATATATATATATATATATATATATATATATATATATATATATATATATATATATATATCACTTTTAATTCATTCTTTTTCTTACCTTGTCGAGATTTGCGTTTCTTACATAAAATCTTCATCTGTCTTTTTCGTCTGTTTTAGATTTTCAAACTTCCTTCTATTTTATTTTTCCTTTCTGAAAATAATTTTATCTTAATTTTTTGCTGTCAATTTATATCGTGTTTATTTTCTTTTTTTCTTTCTTTTCAGCAATTTAAAAGTTTTTCTTTCTTTTCAGCAATTTAGTGTTTTTTCTTTCTTTCTTTCTTTCTTTCTTTCTTTCTTTCTTTTCTTTCTTTCTTTCTTTCTTTCCAGCAATTCAATGGTCTTTTTTTCTTTCTTTCTTTCTTTCTTTCTTTCTTTCTTTCTTTCTTTCTTTTCTCTCTCTTCATATCATATTTTCTCTCCTTTCTTTGAATTTATTTGTCTTTTTTTCCCACCTAACATTTGAAATGTTTTCTTTCTCTCTTCCGCACCAAGCGATTCTTTGAACTACTCAACTAGAACAAAGCGGGAAATTACAAAACACTTTTTGCCTTTTTATCCTTTCACCCCCCTATTTTTCTAACTTTTTCTTTATCTTTTTTTAATAGTCTCGTTTAAAATATACAGCCTCGTCGCTTTTCACCTCGTAAATAGAAAGTTTGGAGCGATAAAGTAAACGGAAAATAACTCAGTCGTAAGTGTTCCATTTACTTTCAAGGAGAAAACCATGGCAAAAAACAAATATGTTGGAGAAATTTATTCACCGTGAAGAAAACTTGTCTGCTATTTTGTTTCATCTGTAAATTCCTCACTTTTTTGTGAGATCCTTCATCTGTCTGATGCTTGTCTAATATGCTTCATGCATTCAATCAACTGATTTACCTAAGGATATGAGTTCAAATTGTACTAAGTGCCTTCAATCTAATGAAGGGGCTGTTTGGTTCGGTTGGGTTTGTTTTAGGGAATATCAGCCTTAATGAGTTATTTAATGCCGGCAACTTTTATTATTTTTCAAATTATTTTATTTTCAAAAATATATTGCTGGTAATAATTGTTTTTTTATAAAAAAAAATATTTCTGATATGTATACTTCTTTTTACAGTTTCATAGTGTTTTGACCCCAGTTTGGAGGTATTTGCCCATAGCTGGGACCCTAAAAGGTGCTACCACCCATGGTCTGGGTGGACCTGGGAACACCAGCAATTAAGAGGTGGTTCCACGCTCCCCAAAGCCTCCTGATCAGAGGCCTTGCTGTCGGATGTAATTTATCGTCTTACCCAGGACGCGGAGGTAGCTTACTGTCATACTCAGGACGCGGATCTAGTTTACTGTCATACCCAGTTCACTCCACTATATCTTAGTTAATACCACCCAACTTCTGTTAACCGTCAGGTAACCAAAACTTGTCCGATATTCGGAGCCTACATGTTTGCAATGCTTGCCCGGTTGTCTATAAATCTGTCTTTTCAACGTTCTCGTTCTCACATTTACCCGTCCTGGGTAAGACGATAAACTACATCCACGTCCTGGGTAAGACGCTAAACTACATCCGCGTCCTGGGTATGACACTAAACTACATCCGCGTCCTGGGTAAGACAATAAACTACTTCCACGTCCTGGGTAAGACGATAAACTACATCCACGTCCTGGGTAAGACGATAAACTACATCCGCGTCCTGGGTAAGACGATAAACTACATCCAATATCAAGGCCTCCGATCAGTTGGTTTTGAGGAGCGTGGAACCATCTCTTAATTGGTTTGTTCCCAGCTTCACCATGACCCGGTTAGTAGCACGTGTTAGGGTCCCATCTATGGGAAAATAGTTAACCTCCAAACTCGTGTCAAAACACTATGAAAGTTTAAAAATAGGTTTTAATACCAGAAATAATTTGTAAAAATTATTACCGGCAATATATTTAAAAAAATATTACCAGCTATACATTTTTGAAAAGAAAAATATTACCAGCGAAGGAAAATTTTTACCATAAGTAGATTTTTTGAAGGAAAAAAATATTACTACAAACAGAATTTTTGAAGGAAAAAATATTACTAGAAATAGATTTTTTGGAAAAATAATACCAACAATGATAATTTTGTTAGGATTAAATAACCTATTGAGGTTGATATGCCCTAAAACAAACCAAATCAAAGCAGCAATACATTTTTGAAAAAAGAGATATTACAAGAAATATACACTCCGTGCCAAATTATTATCGAGATAACTTTTTTCTAACATTTCAAAAACCGTCCAATCAATTCACGCAAAATTTTTACACAATGTTGGCAACACTGATCTGCGTATTCACTGAAATTTTCGTAGTGATCTGCGCAACGTAAACAAACTGGCGCCATATTTGTTATCAGCACGGTGATTTGACCGTGCCAAATTATTAGAAAGGTTTAGTAAAATTCCCCGAATTGAGCAAACAAAACGTTTATTAATGTTGAACGTGAATGTTTATGATCAAAAGAAGCTAATAAATAGGATAATCAAAAAAATAATAACAGATACAAGCCATGGCACAGTTTTAAACAAATTAATAAGGAATGTGCTTTCCCTGTTTTGAAATTACTTAAAAAAGTCGACGATCCATAGAATTTCTTAATTGTAGGATGTCATCTGCTGTAATACCGCGAGATATATCAAGAATTGTTTCCTAGAACTCAGCGTTGCTCCTGAATTGTCGTCCGTTGGCGTACGGTCTTCGCTTCATGATGCTCCAATGGTTTTCGATTGGGTTCAAATCCGGAGAATTTGGTGGTCACTTCATTTTTCGAGGTCTATCGAAGCCTAACTTCAAATATTCAGTAGTCTTGTGAGCAAGCATTATCTTGCATACAAAAAAACAATGGCCCTTCTGAAGGCAACTCTTTGCCTTTTCATCCACGGTTCAAGATGCTTCTTCCTAAATGCTATGTATGCATCAGCAGTCATTTTGACGCCATCTGGTACTCTCCATGAGCCCACTAATGTTTTTTTCAATAATACCACCCCAGATCATTATGCCTCCACTGCCTTATTGGCGTCTCAAACGATGATGGCTATTCTGTCCGTTCATTACCCAGCCTTTGCACCATCTATCTGGCCCATCAAGTGTTGCTCGAGTTTCGACTGTGAACAAAACTTTAGAGAAGTCAATCTTCATATTGTCCTCTGCCTATTTCAATCGATTTTGAATGTGATTTCTCGTCAACGGAGGCTTCGATACAGGTTTGACTGTTATTGCTATTTCCCTCAGATACCAACACCGAGTACTTTTAGACACAGTAGGATCCCCAATGCGACTGAAAAGCTCTTGACTGGTAAGTC